CCCCACCCCCCTCCCACTCTCATCCTGCTGTATTTTTCTGAACAGCAATTGTCACCTCTAAAATGCAACATATTTTTACTTAGTTATGTTGTGTGTAAGTCTCCCCGGTCCCATGCTTGGTAGAAACAGAAGCGCTGTGAGGGCAAGAATTTCTGCCTGTCTCTTCACTTGCTTTGAAGTGTGTAACTGTTACATGAATGAATTGAGGACAGCAAGGAAGCCCAGTTTCCCTTAAAATCGACGACAGTCTGGAATTGCCCTTCTGTCTGAGCTAGAAAGCTGCTGTGTCCTCCTTAAGCAACAACAAGATAAGAGTGAGAGGGACTGCCGGCCTCAATGAATCCTGCCAACTCATCTCCCAGCAGGGAGATGCGGGAATGGCAGGAGAGTGTGGAGGGTGCTGCAAACTGTACGCTGCTCACTCCTCCCTGTTCTATACGCAGAAGCTTTAAGACTCTCGGAGCAGCTAGACCAAACCTCTAAAGGAAAAACTAAGGGTAAATGATGCCATGAGGTGGGGCCCCGATTCAGATTCAGTAGACTTGCATCCACATAAAAGGAGACAACACAGAATTTGCCTCTCTTCTCACACATAGAGCAGGATGAAGAGAAAAGCAGCTGGGAAGCGAAACTTCACTAGGAACCAAATTTGCTAGAACCTTGACCTGAGATGTCTCAGCCTCCAGAAGTGTATGAACACAAATTCCTGTTGTTTAAGTTTCCCAGTCGGTGGCATTTTGTCATAGTGGTCTGAGCAGATGTGTACAGAAGCCAAGAGAAAAACTCCTGACCTGAACTGGTGTGTAAAGGCATGTTTTTAAAACTCTGCCCATCCTAAATAATTGTTTCAGGCTCTGTTGGCATCAACCACAGTTTGCCTCTGAAGAGACTGTCCTGACCATCCAGCATACGGCTGATCAGGACATAAATGCCCACAGATGGGAACACTGGCCTCACAGTACCAATTGAATAGGCATGTCCATCTATATTTATAGCCACAGTGTGTTAGTTATTTTTTCATTATTGTGATCAAGTACTGAGCAAGAAGGAACTCAAGAGTGGCTGGGTTAATTTTGTCTTACAGTTAAAGGGGTACAGAGGTCACAGGCAAGTGGGACTATGAAGAAGCTTGGAGCATCATGTCCACAGTCAGGGGTCAGGGGTCCACAGGAAGTGAGACTGTGATATCAAACTGAAGGCCCGCCCCCAATGACATACTTCCTCCAGGAAGTCTTCTCCTCCTACAGGTTCTACAACTTTCCCAAACAGCATCACCGGCCAAGGACAACGTGTTCAAACACACGGGCTGTGAGGGGCTGTTCACATCCAACCCACAACGAAAGCGTCCAGATGAGCTAGCGCGCAATGAGATGGTCCAGCAGGCACACAACCTCTCTTCTATTAGTCTTTGCTTTTCAGTAACAAATTCAGCCTAGCTCCTCAGCGTCCCCAGATTTAGTCTCTACAGGGTCTAGTTCCGAAACCTGTAAGAAGAGGGCACAGAGCAAGAAGGGACCACAGTCCAAATGCATCTGAAGATCTAGTCCGTCTTGCCATCACCCCACAGCTCTCGAGCCCACTCCCAACCATGAAGAATGGCTGGCTTAGTAATTTGGGGGTTGGAGGGAAGCAAAATGGCTGAGCAGATAAAGGCACCTGCCACCAAGCCTAGACTCACATGGTGGGTAGAAGTAACTCCTGGACACTTCCCTCAGGCCTCCATGTGCATGCTGTGGCACACCATTCACCCACTCCAATACCCACATCCACCCACACACTACATTAATAAATGCAAAATAAATGTAGTATTAATAATAACAACAAATGACTGACTTAGAGCTGCAGAAAACCTCCCCTTCAGCATCCCTCCAGGCTCAGAGCCAAGGCACACACCTCAGAGGATAGCAAAGGAGAGCACACTGGCAGACACCTCAGCTCTTACTGCACAAGGCTCTCAGGGTCGGCCCCATTTCTTGTCGCATGGTGAGTGCGTGGTAAAGGCGACCCCAGAAGAAGCTGTTCGGGTAGAGGAAATGTGAAGGACAAGGCTGGCAGATGGGAAGAGGCTCTCGGGCTAGGGAGACGGCTCGGCTGGTAAAGCACTCTCCTAGCAAGCAGACAATCTATCCTAATTGGTGAGTCCCAGGCCATTGAGAAACCTTACCTCAAAGGAGGTAACAGGCCGGGCGGTGGTGGCACACGCCTTTAATCCCAGCACTCGGGAGGCAGAGCCAGGCGGATCTCTGTGAGTTCAAGGCCAGCCTGGGCTACCAAGTGAGTTCCAGGAAAGGCGCAAAGCTACACAGAGAAACCCTGTCTCCAAAAACCAAAAAAAAAAAAAAAAAAAAGGAGGTGACAGTACTCCTGACAGTGACCCCTAAGGCTGTCTCCTGCTCTCACATGCACATGTACACATCTACACGCATGTACATAGGAGCTTGTACACACACACAAACAAACACACACACACACACACACACACACACACAGAAAGATAACATGCACACGTTTTTTTTGAGACAGAGTCTTACTGCACATCTTTTAAAAAGAAAAAAAAAGTCCTGTTTGGCCTGCTCATGACGTCTCTCAGCAGAAGCAAAGCTGTTCTTTGCCCACCCACATGTGGGTGGAGGGGACCACCAACTCTACTAAGTAACCACACCTACAGGCCATTTCTCGGAGGCAGGCCACATCTCCTGGCTTAAGCCCTGAATGGAGATGCCTTTTTGTTGCCTACCTCAAACGAGAGACACTCGTTCTTATCTGAAACCATCTCGGTTTGAAAGTTCCCAGTCCAAGGCTCTCTCCTCTCTCCACCTCACCCTCCCTAGTGCCTGAGTCATCGGGGCCTCACTCTCGCTGGGTCAAAGTGCATCATCTCTTTTAAATCTAAGTGTTACCTAAAGGTTATATAATTCTGTGAAGGAGGAAGACAGTGAGGGACTGCTGTCTGTGCTTGTACACACTTGTAAATTTACACATGTAAGGTGAGCACAGAGAACAATGTGTAAGGACCCGTATCCAGCTGAAATGTTAGCTGGAGAGACAATGTTGAAGACAGAAGTGTGAAGATTGTTGATTTAAATCACACACACACACACACACACACACACACACACACGGCCAATGTAACTCCTAACCATGAGACCCCGGGTCCAATTTCTGCTACAGTTAGACTGGTTGGCTCCCTTCACCTGTGGTCTGCCGTTCCTGTTCTTGGTGAGCTCCATTCCATACCGACGTCACTGTCGGAGGTCTTCACCACACATCCAGCTCCAGCCCTTGTTTCCTCCGTTCAACCATCTGAAGAGCAGCCTGCAGTACACACTCACTCAAACAGCCTGCAGTGCAACTCACTCAAACAGCCTGCAGTGCACACTCAAACAGCCTGCAGTGCACACTCACTCAGCCAGCCTGCAGTGCACACTCAGCCAGCCTGCAGTGCACACTCACTCAGCCAGCATGCAGTGCACACTAGGCCAGCATGCAATGCACACTCAGGAAAACACACACAATGATGTGTACCTTTGCCATTGCTGATTCTGGGGATTCTCTCCCCATCTCTAACTGTAGACATCCTATCTGACCTCAGGGTTGCTCTTGGGATGCCACAAGCCTGTAACCAAGTGTGCCTCATCTCTCCCCTGAGCGTCCACAGCACTCAGTGCATGCCATGGGGCCTCCCAGCGCTCCGCACTCCAACAGTCTGTGAACTTACCTTACATTCCATGCCACTGAAGGAAGAGACAAACTCACTGACTTAGAGCTGCAGAAAACCTCCCCTTCAGCATCCCTCCAGGCTCACACCTCAGAGGATAGCAAAGGAGAGCACACTGGCAGGAAGCTCAGATCTTACTACACAAGGCTCTCAGGGTCTGCCCCATTTCTTGTCGCATGGTGAGTGCGTGGTAAAGGCAACCTCCAGAAGAAGCTGTCCGGTAGAGGAAATGTGACTCTCTGGTTACCTAACAGTACAGAGTGGCCAGCTATGTTAGCAAGCACTGTGTGTGACACAAATATTGGTGAACTCAGTTTCAGTCTAAACATGCCTGTCAAGAAGTCAAAACAGAAGGGACTAACATTTGTTGAGCAACCACGGTGTTTGCAGCATCCTCTGAGTTTCACCCTCTGATTTGTATTTTAATATAAACACAAGCTTTACATGGCTATGAAGGAAAATAATGTGGCTATACCAAGAGGAAGTCTCCTAGGAGCTCCCATGGGATGCATCTGAAGTCCTGCAGCTACCCTGTGATGGGCATTGTGGAGAGAGAAGAACACGCCTCGTCAGCCCAGCAGGCAGAGCATTGGCTCACAGAAAGCCGTAACGATAAGGGAGTGAAAACGATTTTTTAAAAATGTTTTCAGTGGAGGAGGAATCTGATTTCTGTGGACTCTCGCAATCACATGCTACCATGGCCCTCTGTTACATGCAGAGCAGCGGATTGCTGGGTGTGTACAAGTCCGTGCTACACAGCACATTGACCTGCTGTCTGTAGCTTACCCCACTCCGTGCTACACAGCACATTGACGTGCTGTCCTAGCTTACCCCACTCCGTGCTACACAACACATGGACCTGCTGTCCGTAGCTTACCCCACTTCCTGGCAATACCGGCCTCCCGCAGACATATGACTTCTGTTACTTCCACACTGGATGCAAAGGAAACCAACTGACTTAGGAAAGAATACTTGTAAGTCTAAAGATAATAGAAAATAGCTCTGAAAACAAGATAACCATGACATTAAATAATTCTAGAACTATTCTGGACTCATTTAGCCTGTAAAGAAAATAAACTATTTTCAGATAAAACTTTCCCCATTAGCCATATGCACAGAATTTCTCTAAAGTGGCATAAACACCCTTTCCAGATTTCTAACACTTTAGCCTTTCTTCTTAGTCCCTTCCAATCCATACAATCTCCAAAGCAACAAGAATTTAAGGTTTTAGAAATAAATGATAGTTTGAAAAGATTATTTGAAATAAAAACACATAACTTACCCACGAAGAAGTCTGAAATAGCCAAATTAAGAAAAAAATAATTACTTCGATGTCTAAGATTTTTGTCCACCACAAAGGCTAAAATCACCACGGCATTGCCCAGCATTATAGCAAAAGCAAGGAGGGACATGAAAAATGCCAAGGAAACTTTGGCAGCCAGCGGCAGGCTGCCAGAGCTGTTAGCATCTAACATCACACCAAATGATGTCAGTACAACAAATCCTCCTGGCCAGGCAGTTCTAGCAAGCCTGCTTCCCAGGCAGGCGCCTCCACGGATATAGCGGCTCCCACTCAGCCCAGCATCTTCGCCTCTGCTGACGGTGTCACACTACTTCCTGGTTATTGATAACGATCATCTGTGGTAGCCATTTCCCTTGAACTGACACTGAGGAAGTGTTTCCACAAAACAATGAAATGCTTCGTCTTAAGCAATGCAATGGAGTCATCCATTTCATCCATTCCTCAGAGAGAGGGCAATGTTACGTAGCATCTATCAAATATGATTTATACATCTTATGGGCCATAGGCTGGGGTTGAGGGAGATTCTTTTGATGTTTTTTTTTTTAAATAGAGGTCCAGCTAATAATTCTCTTCTGGCCATAAAAAGGTACCAAGAGTTAAATTTCATTCTCTCTCTCTCTCTCTCTCTCTCTCTCTCTCTCTCTCTCTCTCTCTGTCTTTTTGGTTTTTCGAGACAGGGTTTCTCTGTGTAGCTTTGCGCCTTTCCTGGAACTCACTTGGTAGCCCAGGCTGGCCTCAAACTCACAGAGATCCACCTGGCTGGGATTAAAGGTGTGTGCCACAACCGGGCTCATTAAACAACCCACAAGGGGGTGGGACAAAGGGCAGCCCTTCCTGACAGACAGGCATTAAGGGGATGCTTGCATAAGTCTTCAGAGCTCATTAGGGAAGGGAAATAAAGTGAAAATCTAACAAACCTTCTGGGTTGAAGGGATGGAGCTGAGAGCTGAGAGCTGAAAGGACCAGAGGGGATATGGACTTCAGAGAAGTCCAGAAAAACTCCAAGGAACTGCAAAGGATCCTCCATCCTAAGTATTCACCTGAGTACTGACCAGGAGAGTTTAGAGGGAACTTTTATAGGCAGTGGAAAGAACTACTAGAAGATGAGAGTGGTACCCAGTGTTTACATAAGGCTGGTTATTGTGTCTGCTCCCAGGCCAGATGGAAACATTCATATCGCGGAGGCACTGTGTAGTACACTCAAAAAAGTCTAATTAGCCCTGCACAGAGTATTTCTTGGGTTCTGACCATCAGCTCCTAAGATCAACACCTATGAGAATCAAATCGTTTTCAGATAAGTTCAGTGCAGCTCTGAACACAGTCAAGAATATATGGGGGTGGCTCGTGCATGTTATCCCAATCACTAGGGAGACTGAGGCAGGGGGATTGACGTGAGGAGCCCACAAGGAAAAATTAGACTACTCTCTGAGTTCCAGGCTAACCTGCACTACAAAGTGATATCTCAAAAGAAAAAAAATAGAAGACATGAGTATTTATAGACCATAAAATAATCCCAAACCAAAGAGGTAATTACAACGAACACCAGGCATTTCAAGAAACAAGCTAAGAAACCTGTAATAAAGGAAGAAATCAGTCCCGAAACCACTGAACATTGCAGTTATTAGACCAAAGAGACAAGGACACCATAGTTCTTGTTATGGCTGTGTTCTATTCTTGGAGAAACTATGTAAAACTATAAAGATGAATCTAAAGGCTCAAAACTCACAGAAGAGAAAGCTAGAATGCCTTAACTGGAAGATCAGATACTGATCTTAATGGAGGATCAGATATCATAGGAAAAATTATTAATGAAATGCAGAGATAAAAGATTTTTTATTGAAAATTAGGAGAGCAGCACTCGACTGCAGGATAACTTGGGTCTCAGAGGAGTCCCTGAGGAAAGAGAGGGAGAAGAGGAAACATGCTTGAAAAGTTCACGGCCAAAACTTCCAAGAGTTGTTGAAAGCTATAAATCAGGAAGCTCAGTAACCCCAGACCCGAGAAACAGAAAGACGGCTACACAAAGCTGGGAGACAGAGCAGTCAGTGCAGGGCTGCCTTGCAAGTGTGAGGACTTGAGTTTGGCCCCCAGAACCCATGTTTTAAAAAGCAAGACAAGGTGGAACTGAGACAGGCAGACCATTGGACTCACCAGCCAGCCAGGTAGCCTTGGGGAGCTCCAGGCCAGTAAGAGACACTGTTGCCACACCAAGGTTAGTGCCTCCTGGAGAATGACATCTGAGGTCAACCTGTGCTCTCTACACACACATAACACCCTCATACCTATGAGCACACATACACATATGAACATGCACTTCCACATACTCACAAGAATAAACTACATAAGGCCCATCATATAAAAATGGGGAACAAAACAAACAACACAAACACAACAGTGCTAACACTAAGTGTGGTAGTAGCCACCCTGAGTCCCAGAACTTAGGAGGGAAAGGCAGGAAGGTTAACGGGGAACTTAAGGTGATCTTCTGCTACACAGAAAGTTTGAGATCAGCCAGAGTTACATGAGAAGTTGTCTCAAAACAAAACAGAAAATATGTTAGACTAAGAAAATCTAAATAGTAGGTGGTGGTAGGACATAAAACATAAAAATAAAAAGACGTGAATGCCTCCAGGTTGCTTGTTGGAAGCAATATATCAGGAATCCATGAGTAGCTGCAACATCTTTCAAGGGCTAAAGAGGAAAAGAAACAGCCAAGTACTCTGCATTTAGTAAAATAAAACCTTAATGTATTGTATAAAAAAATTCACTTAAAAAATACCTTTCATAATCAAGCCAAAATAGGACTGGAGATGGATAAGGCCTTGCCTTGTAAGCAAGAGGACCAGATTTCGGACCCCCAGAAGCTTCCTCCTTCAAATTCTTTGCTCAGGTATTTTCTCACAGCAATGATACGTGATTAACAGAAACAAGACATGATGTGTATTATTTCCAACCTAGTTGCAAAAACTTCAAACCAACTAATGGGCTAGATCATCTGCTCCATGCACCTCGCCAAGAGCTGGTCATGAAATGACTTGATTGTATCATAGAAGGCATCAATCCTTTCTCTCTATTTGTCCAAGATGCCACCTGCCATTGGGAATGGGCCTAAAGGAAGGGTCTGCACTCTCTCAGGAAGGGTCTGCACTTTCTCAGGAAGGGTCTGCACTCTCTCAGGAAGGAAGGGTCTGCACTCTCTCAGGAAGGAAGGGTCTGCACTCTCTCAGGAAGGAAGGGTCTGCACTCTCTCAGGAAGGGTCTGCACTCTACACTACACTCTCTCAGGAAGGGTCTACACTCTCTCAGGAAGGGTCTACACTCTCTCAGGAAGGGTCTGCACTCTCTCAGGAAGGAAGGGTCTGCACTCTCTCAGGAAGGAAGGGTCTGCACTCTCTCAGGAAGGAAGGGTCTGCACTCTCTCAGGAAGGGTCTGCACTCTCTCAGGAAGGAAGGGTCTGCACTCTCTCAGGAAGGAAGGGTCTGCACTCTCTCAGGAAGGAAGGGTCTGCACTCTCTCAGGAAGGGTCTGCACTCTCTCAGGAAGGGTCTACACTCTCTCAGGAAGGGTCTACACTCTCTCAGGAAGGAAGGGTCTACACTCTCTCACCTTGCCACTGGCACGCAGGGACTTAACCAAAGGGATCCATAGAAAGAATGGCTTGGGCGCCAATGGCAACTGGAGACAGATCCATGGAACTGAAACAGCCAGTGAGATGGGGACAGTTCCTGAGTGGGTGTGACAAAGGGGAAGTCTAGCGCGAGGATGCCTTAATGTCACTCTTCACCGCAAAAGAGTGACATTCTCTCTCAATTTAGACCCCAGTTGCCTCTTGAAATGCAAGATGGTGTTTTCCAAAACCTCTTCCTTTGGAGAAGCAAGAAGGAAGTGTTACAGCAGCCAGCTCAACACATACACCCATGCTGCCAAGTGTGGTCTAGAGCCTCAAGACAGACCTAGCCTGTGGAAGCTCTGGCTGAAGCTCCAGGGAACAGCACTTGGCAACTTTGGTTTTGGGTCACACTTCCTGAAGCTGTTATTCAAGACCTGAGTTGGAGTCAAGACCTGGAAACCCAAATCCACTGGAACTGAAAGCACTGATGGAGAGTAGGCTGAATGAATATTAGATGCCATGACCATGGGGGTAAGATTAGGGAAGGGATTGGGATAAAACGGTAGAAGTCCATCCTCTGCAGGCCCCATCTGTCCAAACCTGGCATGTAAAAATAGCTCTTCACTCTGTTCCTGTGGGTAGAAAGCCACACAGAGATAGAGAGATGACTGGGACATTTAGATAATGAAATAAGAAAAACAGCTTTGTGGGGCCACATTCCTGATGGTGAAAAGTGAGAAATCCTGTGAGTGGCTGGGGGAAACACTGTGGCACATTCTAGTCAGTGCACACACTAACCACTGTCCACTTAGCTGTGATTAACACTGTGACTGAGGAAACAAACACAATTGCATTCTAGTTTCTCAGTCACAAGAAAAGGAAGGAAAGAGGAGAGAGAGGGAGGGAGGGAGAGAGGGAGGGAGGGAGGGAGGGAGGGAGGGAGGGAGGGAGGGAGGGAGGGAGGAATTAGTACGCTCACAAGCATGCCTTCTGAGCACTGATGGGTCCGACTACATCTTGGATGGGGATCTTGCTTGTATTAACCAGAGAGAGCTGGAGTGACTCAGCAGAACTACATGCTGACTTAACTAAGGACAGACAGGGACAAGCAGCACCTAGAGAGAGCAGCTCAACTTATCCCACCCACACGGCATAGACCCATTTCCCGGTGGAATGATAGGCATCATGAAACGCATTTGCTCATTGTAGAACATTCCATTTTAACTTCTCCGCACACACTCACTCTTTTCCCTAGCCTCTCCTTCTCTTCTATGGACCAATAAAATTACTCTCTCTCCTCTCACAATCCGTTTTGTATGTTTTGTATCACGTCATAAAAGGTAAGTATGCATACATCTGCCATCCAGTCAAACCCTGTCCTTTGAGCAAGAAAGGTTCTTCGATCCCATAAAAGAACAAAATAGAAAGAGAAATTAGTGCTTAACATCAACAAGTGGGCTGGTCCAACAAATCTTAATGTTCTGCTTGAGATAAGAGAGCCTGGGGGGAACCCAGAGCTGGGCTGCGAACTCACTTTCAAAAGGAAAATGTTATTTGTAGG